CAAGACATTACCTCTAAAGACAAATTTCAACTTGTGAAACCATCATTTAACTTAAAATCATTTGTTACTAGAACGTTTGTGTATGGAACTCTCTCAACATGTCCATTAAATCCAAACTTAGAAGATTTTAAATCCAAATGGAAAATGTATTTTTTAGGATTAGATTTATTGTGTAAGACATTTGCTTTGACATTTCTCTGTTTAGAGTGGATTTTAGCGCTTTATTAAAACAACTATTAATATTTTATTGCTATTACCTTATAATTCTGAGATATTGATAGCCTAAATTGTCTAGATAATTAGAGAGAAATATAAAGTATCAGAATATTTACTATTATTATTACAATCATTTTAAAACTGTGAATATTATAATAGAGAACTATGAACTATCAGAAACTGTATCTTATCATTAGCTATTTCTATTATTTCAGTGTCAAAAATTTATTTAAAACTATGAATATTATCAAAGAAAACTATGAACTATCAGAACCTGTAGCTAATCATTAGCTATTTCTATTAGTTCAGTGTTAAAAATTTATTTAAAACTATGAATATTATCAAAGAAAACTATGAGCTATCAGAACCTGTATCTAATCATTAGTTATTATTGTTATTACAGTGTTAGAAGTTTATTTAAAACTATGAATATTATCAAAGAAAACTATGAACTATCAGAACCTGTAGCTAATCATTAGTTATTATTGTTATTACAGTGTTAGAAGTTTATTTAAAACTATGATTGTTATAAAATAACTATCAGAACCTGTAGCTAATCATTAGTTATTATTGTTATTACAGTGTTAGAAGTTTATTTAAAACTATGAATATTATCAAAGAAAACTATGAGCTATCAGAACCTGTAGCTAATCATTAGTTATTATTGTTATTACAGTGTTAGAAGTTTATTTAAAACTATGAATATTATCAAAGAAAACTATGAGCTATCAGAACCTGTAGCTAATCATTAGTTATTATTGTTATTACAGTGTTAGAAGTTTATTTAAAACTATGATTGTTATAAAATAACTATCAGAAACTGTATCTTATCATTAGTTATTATTGTTATTACAGTGCTAGAAGTTTATTTAAAACTATGAATATTATAAAACAGAACTATGAACTATCAGAACCTGTAGCTAATCATTAGTTATTATTGTTATTACAGTGTTAGAAGTTTATTTAAAACTATGAATATTATAAAAGAGAACTATGAACTATCAGAACCTGTATCTGATCATTTACTACAATTAGAAAAGAAGTATTGTATTATGTCAGCATTATTCTATACTTTTGAAAGGTGAGGAGATTAGTTTTGTGTATTCTGTGTAGCAGCTAGTAATAAACCTTAATTTACTGGTTGTGTCTTCAAAATTTGAATATTGGTGAAAAATTTGATTTCTGTATATCCAGTATTTTATTTTCTGTTCTGTTTTGATATTATAGAATATGTGAGAAGGTATTTAGAATAGAAAATGGTGTAGAACAAGAACCTATACTGTAAGTTTTTATAATGTATCACTGTGTGGTAAAGAAAATGCCTATTTTATAGATGCAAATTGTATGTGAACAAACAGTGGATGTTTAGGTTGAATATTAATAATGCAGGTAGCTGAAATCAAGTTCTTATGGCTGATAAAGCAAACTCAAAAATAGCCTTAAAAATGTTTTTTAACGCTACATTTTGTGCTTCTATATATCAAGCAAATTGCTTTCTTTGGAATGATAGTTTGTTTATATTTTTTTGAATATTTTCAGAGAAAATCATATGCCACCAATACCTGATACTGAAGGTGTAGTTTATAGAAAGAAATTAATATGGACATTATTTCTTCATGCTAAACGTAAGTTATAACTTGCTATATAGATGGCTCGTACATTTTAAACATTCTAGATAAAAACCGTTTTGACATATATTTCATCATCATTATTTAGATATAATTGTTATTAATATTGTTATTATAACTATGTACAATTGTTATTAATATTGTTATTATAACTATGTACAATTGTTATTAATATTGTTATTATAACTATGTATAATTGTTATTAATATTGTTATTATACCTATGCATAATTGTTATTAATATTGTTATTATAACTGTGTACAATTGTTATTAATATTGTTATTATAACTATGAACAATTGTTATTAATAATGTAATTATAACTATGTACAATTGTTATTAACATTGATATTATAACTATGTACAATTGTTGTTAATATTGTTATTATAACTATGAACAATTGTTATTAATATTGAAATTATAACTATGTACAATTGTTATTAATATTGTAATTATAACTATGTACAATTGTTATTGATATTGCTATTATAACTATAATTATTATTGATATTGTTATTGTTATTATAACTATGTATGATTGTTATTATAACTATGTACTATTGATATTGATATTATAACTATGTACAATTGTTATTAATATTGTTATTATAACTATGTACAATTGTTATTAATATTGTTATTATAACTATGTACAATTGTTATTGATATTATAACTATGTACAATTGTTATTAATATTGTTATTATAACTATGTACAATTGTTATTAATATTGTAATTATAACTATGTACAATTGTTATTGTTATTATAACTATAATTATTATTGATATTGTTATTATAACTATGTATGATTGTTATTATAACTATGTTCAATTGTTATTAATATTGTTATTATAACTATGTACAATTTTTATTAATATTGTTATTATAACTATGTATAATTTTTATTGATATTGTTATTGTAACTATGTATGATTGTTAATATAACTATGTATGATTGTTATTATAACTATGTATTATTGTTATTGAGATTGTTATAATAACTGTGTATAATTGATATTGTTATTATAACTATTTATAATTGTTATTATTACAGGAAGTTTAATGAGTGATGATCAAGAATTAGTCAAGTCTGTTCATCTGTTATTATGTTGTGTAGAATATGTTTTACGACTTTCACCATCCTTTTTATTAAATTCACCTTATGGTAGGTTTATACCATATAATATTTTCTGTCGATGTCTCTTTGTTAATCAGCTAGTTTGTTTACTCTGCTTATATTCTTTTAACTAAAACTGACCCTCCTAATGAGGATTTGCAAGAGAGGAGCTTTTGTTAATAAAAATTAAACTGAAGAATATTCTTTTCTATATTTGTTTCTTGTTGGTTGAGTAACACAGTCATCAAATTTGCTTCATTTGTATATATTTCAGATACTATAAGAATAGGTTGTTCACCAGAACATCAAACTAATGGTTTATTAGGAAAATTAGCTGAACATTTTGATTCCTGTATAGATGAGGTAATTTGACACTTTTATTTGTTATGATATATACGAACTGCGTCTAAAACCTTGACATTTATAGGCTCTTTTCTTTGTATTACAGAATGCAGCAATTTGATTTGATTGCAGTGAAAACAACTAATCAGAGCTCTTGTCATAAAGACTGTAAACATTATTGCTTATGGTTTACAGACATTCTGTTGAGACCTCTGATTGGCTGGTTTAGGTAGTGTAAATCCAATCATATTGGTGCATTTACAAACTATCTGGATACAAGAAACACACATAATGAATTCAAAGTATGTGGCGCTGTTTGTAATATTTTGATAATGCGAAGATGGCTGGTTAATAGAAATCTGGTTTTCTGAAATTCCTAACCCCATCCACAATCAATATACCTTACTCAATCATGAAGACTCAAATTCAAGATAATGTCATTTAAGCTTCAATAATAATAATTTCAGGTTCAGCTCCTACAGAGAACTCAAACAGAAAACTATTTTACACAACTTCCTAATGTTGATGATGTAAGTAGCTTTAAAACTGTAGCTCCCCATAATTATCTATATAGTTAGTGCCATCTTGGAATTGTTCAAGCCATTCTTGAAACTTTTACCCATTATATTGTCAAATCATTGTTGGTTTCCTTTTTGTTGTAAAGAATCTTTTCATTAATGGAAAGGACCATAATGGATTGGTTGACGCACAAAATACTATGAGGCAAGTTCATGGAGAGTTATCTTTCCCTTGTGGTGTTGCTGTTCAATCGGTAGTAAAGAAGTATTTCTTAACATTACAAGCATTCAGCATTCATTTAATGTCATCACACAAAAATGTTACTGATTTCTCATCAATGAGATCCACTGCTAAGTACTGTTTAGCTGATTGGTAAGTGCTGACATTTATGGAACACCTGATGCCACCTTGAAGGTATGTGACGTTCTATTGACAGAACTATTTCAATTTTACAGCTGGAAAAATTAACAGAGAAATATTTAGACGAATACAGACATGATGGTGATTTAAATGATTTATTATTTCTGTCAGATCTTAAATCTCTGCCTAAACCACACACTACTAAGTAAGTTAAGATATTTGTATCTATAACAGTTTTTAGTTGGTATCTGAAAATTTCTTTTCATTTTCATCTTTCTATTTTATATTGCTCTTACATCTACAAAAAGAAAAAAAAGAATGCAGTATAAAATGCATATTTTGGCCAACAATTCTTCAGGATCTTATCCACCAGCTGTTTCTGGATTATCATTACAGCTGTATCAAAAGGATTGATGAATCTTTCTAAACATAAGTTGGCAAATGTTTGCTTAAAACTCCCAAGTTCCCATACTAATTCTATTTTTTAAGGATTGTATATTATGCAGCCTCACATTTCAGATCAGTTATATTTCGAAATTATTATAATTTTGATGGGTTTTTTTCTTTTTAATAGAGAAAATGGTGAAATTAAAAACATACCAATGACCCCTGTTAGGTAGGTACAAATATATATTTAAACACTAAGTAAGAAGCTATTTGAAACTGTTTATGTTAAAAGACACATTATGGATAGTTGGATATAGAAAAAGATAAACTAATGCTGTTATTCATGCCCATTTCAATGAGAATGAAACTCCCATTACGTTTTCAGAAAGACTTGTCAGATTTCATTTAGATATTGTGATGTATTGTATTGATGTCTATTGTATGTTTTAGGGCAGCATTAAGTACAGTACAACAGATAAAAAATTTATTAATGACCAGTACAGATGAACCTAGTGAAAAATTACAACAGTATTTTAATGTAAGTGTACAAGCCTCACTATTTCTTGAAACAAAGAGATTTCAGGGAAGGAAGGGTTTGATTCTCTCAAATGTACAGGCCTATAATGGAACAATTTCTTTTTGAGAAATTGGAATGTGTGGTCTGGATCACCTGGCTAGTTTTCTGAAAAAAAAATATTGATTTTGTAACAAACCATGAAATAATAACTTGCCAGTTTGGCTGATTGAAAAAGTTTCTGAGAGGAAAAATCTCATCTTTAGTTGAATATCATGTTTATCTTACAGAACTGTAGCCAGAATCCCACAGAAGATATCAAGAATAGATTACAAGAACAGAAAGAGGTGTTTATAGATCAGTTTTGTAGTGCTAGTAATTTAAACCAGGGTGAAATAGCTAGCCAAAGATACCAGTTAGCTGTTAGATTATACTATAGAGTTATAGAATCCATGTTGGACAGTGTAAGTACTTAATTTTAGATGATATTCCTGCCAGGTGCCATTGTGCAGACAGAAGATTAAAACTTTTCAATCCAGTTTTTCCCATGTCATTGATGCAGATGTATATCTGTGATGGAAAGCTGGGGCTCTATGTGAGTTTGTGTATCACTTGATGCACAACTTAAACGGTTTTAGTGGGTTGTCCTACCATTTCTCATGAATGTGTTCTATTTTTAGCATTCCACAGCTAAGCTGATTTTCCCTTTACCCATTTGGATATCTGTATAACTTTGTGAAATTGTGAACAAAAACATAAATTTTATAGGAGTGGAACAAGATGTCAGATTGGTTAACTGAAAAGTGATAACTGAAATAAAACTCTTTCAGGTGGTAAAGCAACTAGTTTAACAACCTTATCTCTTACCTTTACAGGAACATGAAAGATTATCAGAAACTGATTTTAGTAGATTACTAAACATTGGTAGTTTTCACCAATCTTTATTAGCTTGTTCTATAGAAGTTGTTTTAGTGACCTATGGTGTTAGTTGTAAGTATCTTTCACTTATTATTGAAAATGTAAATAAATTTGGTTAACAAAATAAATTTATCCTATTTCCATGACAATTGGGGATTTTAGAACCATAAAATTAACAGTATTAGCTATTGTCAAAAGCCCACCGTAGGATCTGTATTAAAAAAATATATGTTATTTGTTATCTCACATTTCTGTTAAATGATTTTAGGGAATCCATCAACTGGTGCCATGGGTTGTGAAGACTCAGTATTTTCGTTCCCATGGATTCTCAATGTATTTCAACTACAGGCATATGACTTCTTTAAAGTGTTAAAAAGTTTTATAAAAGCTGAACCCAAACTAACAGGGGATCTTATTCGGGTATGTAAATAAAAAATAAATTTTGATGGTCTTAATAAAAGTTGTTTGCAATCTTTTATATGGAATTATATGAACCTATTTCTAAAACGTTGGAAATGTCAATCGAATGTACATGTTCTGGGCAGGAAGAATAACTCATCCCCAGAGAACTGTGGTACATATGATTGTTATGAAACTAAGATTAGGGATTTTAAACTCCATTTCATATATGATCATTTATTACAGCACTTACAGAACGTAGAGAATAGTATTTTAGAAAGTGAAGCATGGAAAAAGGTAACAGAATTTGTTTTACTCATTTAGTTGAGATATCTATTAACGGGCTTGGATATGCTCTTCCACTGTGTATTTCAACTCAACATCCCTTTTGGATAGTTCTAATAAACATTTTATATGTAGATTATGACATTTTCTCTTTATTGGCATCTGTAAAGAGTATGATACTTTATGTTCATTGGCATCTGTATTGTATGTTATATAAGAGTATGATACTTTATAATTATAGGGATCTGTATTGTATGATATTATATAAAGAGTATGATACTTTATAATTATAGGGATCTGTGTTGTATGATATTATATAACGAGTATGATACTTTATAATTATAGGGATCTGTGTTGTATGATATTATATAAAGAGTATGATACTTTATAATTATAGGGATCTGTGTTGCATGATATTATATAAAGAGTATGATACTTTATAATTATAGGGATCTGTGTTGTATGATATATATATATATATAGATTATGATACTTTATGTTTGTAGGGATCTGTGTTGAATGATATTATATAAAGAGTATGATACTTTATAATTATAGGGATCTGTGTTGCATGATATTATATAAAGAGTATGATACTTTATAATTATAGGGATCTGTGTTGCATGATATTATATAAAGAGTATGATACTTTATAATTATAGGGATCTGTGTTGCATGATATTATATAAAGAGTATGATACTTTATAATTATAGGGATCTGTGTTGCATGATATTATATAAAGAGTATGATACTTTATAATTATAGGGATCTGTGTTGTATGATATTATATAAAGAGTATGATACTTTATAATTATAGGGATCTGTATTGTATGATATTATATAAAGAGTATGATACTTTATAATTATAGGGATCTGTGTTGTATGATATTATATAAAGAGTATGATACTTTATAATTATAGGGATCTGTGTTGTATGATATTATATAACGAGTATGATACTTTATAATTATAGGGATCTGTGTTGTATGATATTATATAAAGAGTATGATACTTTATAATTATAGGGATCTGTGTTGAATGATATTATATAAAGAGTATGATACTTTATAATTATAGGGATCTGTGTTGTATGATATTATATAAAGAGTATGATACTTTATAATTATAGGGATCTGTGTTGAATGATATTATATAAAGAGTATGATACTTTATAATTATAGGGATCTGTGTTGTATGATATTATATAAAGAGTATGATACTTTATGTTTGTAGGGATCTGTGTTGAATGATATTATATAAAGAGTATGATACTTTATAATTATAGGGATCTGTATGGTATGATATATACATATAGATTATGATACTTTATGTTTGTAGGGATCTGTATTGTATGATATTATATAAAGAGTATGATACTTTCTGTTTATAGGGATCTGTGTTGTATGATATTATATATAGATTATATTTTACGTTTTTAGGGATCTGTGTTGTATGATATTATATATAGATCAGATCTAGCACCAGTAGAAGTGACATCACCATCAAAACAACCAGTAGTATCTCCAACATCAGCTGACTTGTAAGTCTTTTGTAATACTCTACATGAAAACTCAAAGAGAAATTCTGTTAGAGCAATGGCATTAGCCTACTCTTTCTGTTCTAACAATCAATGGATATCTTAAGTGCAAAGCCTGTAAAACACAAGGGCTCAGTTTTTGGTCCCATCCAAAAGAGCCTAAAGCCCTCTTTTTCAGCAAGCAAGCATCTAATGTCGAGAATTGTATTTTTCTGAAACAACATTTCAACTTATACAAAATACAGCATTTCTTGTTAAATTTTACAGATTTTTATCACCGATGAAGACCAGGTCTGGTATAATACCACCATCCCAAGTTAGAGTTACCTCCCCTAGTAATGTATTTGCTGTGCAATGTGATAAACCACCGCCACATCGATCTCAATCATTAAATATCTTCTTTGATAAAGGTCAGTAATGTTTTTTTTTTACTTTGTCTCTATTAATAATGATTAATTACATTTCTCTTAATGCCTCTAATTCTTCATAAAAGATCAGTCCGGCCACCTTAGGCTTGCTTTAGTATTATGACGGGGATATTCTTGTTGAAAGTAGAATTTTGTAGTGTAATAGCAGACAAGATTAAAGCTATCATGACAATTTGATTTATGGAGATATAAAATCAAAGATGTTTATGGTTAAACCAAATATTATGTAAGCATGTGTATTATTTCAGTATGTAGGTTAGGTTATAGTAGACTACAGAAATTATGTGATATGTTGATAGTACCAAAAGAATTGGTAAGTATTCATTAATTAGATCAACATGTATAATAAAAATGGAGTTATAGGCATAACCTTTTTGCTCTTGCTAATGAACAGATTGGCTAATGGAGATAGGCAAAGTAATGATTGTATTTTTTGTTCCTGTAATTCAGAATGTCTTAGAGTTTTATGTTCTATGTTTCTTCTCCTATGAAGACATGCAGCGTCCTGCTGTTTGCAATGAGGAGAATTTTGTGAGAACAGCAGTAGCCACTCCATTCTTACTTTTTGATCTTCAGAATTCATAGAATCTTTACTATGCACACATGACATCAGTTTTTGTATCATATAAGAACCTAGTCAGGTTTGGCAAAGTTAACCTTCTATCAAAAGTATTGGAATTTATGGCTTTATTTGCATACAGATAGTCCTATTGTAATGGTTGATATCATTTTATTTGTAGACTCACCGGGTTTGGACATGTTTTGAACATTGTATTACACAGAGACCAAGTTTAATGGAGAACAGACATATAGATCAGGTAAATTTTAAGTCACATTATGTTTGGCTCCATTTCAGATCTTTATGTGCTTAGATTAAACTTTTTATTATGATGTGTTCTATTTATGCTATTTATCAGATTTTATGTGTTCTATTTATGGTGCATTTCAGATAATGATGTGTTCTATTTATGCTATATTTCAGATCATGATGTGTTTTATTTATGGTGTATTTCAGATAATGATGTGTTTTATTTATGGTGTATTTCAGATATGATGTGCTCTATTTATGCTATATTTCAGATTGTGGTGTGTTATATGTTATGATGTGCTCTATTTATGCTGTATTTCAGATTATGATGTGTTGTATAATGATGTATGTCAGATTATGACGTGTTCTATTTATGCTATTTATCAGATTTTATGTGTTCTATTTATGGTGCATTTCAGATAATGATGTGTTCTATTTATGCTATATTTCAGATCATGATGTGTTTTATTTATGGTGTATTTCAGATAATGATGTGTTTTATTTATGGTGTATTTCAGATTGTGGTGTGCTCTATTTATGCTATATTTCAGATTGTGGTGTGTTATATGTTATGATGTGTTCTATTTATGGTGTATTTCATATAATGATGTGTTTTTTTTATAGTGTATTTCAGATTATGACGTGTTCCATTTATGCTATATTTCAGATTGTGGTGTGTTACATGTTATGATGTGTTCTATTTATGCTGTTTTTCAGATTATGATGTGTTCTATTATGATGTATTTCAGATTATGATGTGTTGTATAATGATGTATTTCAGATTATGATGTGTTGTATAATGATGTATTTCAGATTATGGCGTGTTCTATTTATGCTATATTTCAGATTATGATGTGTTATATATTATAATGTGTTCTATTTATGTTATATTTCAGATTATGATGTGTTCTATTTATGCAATATGTAAAGTTGTAGAGAAGGAAATTCGGTTTAAGACCATTGTAGAGAGATATAAAAATCTTCCACATTCTAAACAAGAGGTAAAAAAAGAAGATAAGATAATGTTCTGTTAGAATATCAAGAAATAACACTAGTCAAAATTTTGCCATGCCAATCTGTAAAAGTTGAACAGTAACAGTACTGATGAAATGTATTTAGTTTTATTTCTATGGCAACAAATCCTAGAATGAGTAACCCATAAAAAAAATCATTGAACAGAATGTCTCTTGACAATAAAAACTGGACTAGTGATGAATCCATTTTTTGGAAAAGTTTTATATCTGAACAAACTCTAAATTCAGTAACCCATTGAAAGAAAATGAAAAAAAAAAAGAAATAGAGCTGAAGTGCTTTATTTGTTGTTTTTCATTTCAGGTATTTAAAAATGCGTATAGAAAGAAAGAGGATTCTATAATAGGTTTCTATAATAGGTTTCTATAATTAGGTTTTTATTTCAGGTATTTAAAAATGCGTATATAGAGAAAGAGGAATATGATTCTATAATAGGTTTCTATAATAAAGTTTTTATGGAAGCTATGAAACAATTTATTCTACAATTTTCTAATAGTAGAACTACAGTAAGTAAGAATTCTGGTTTTATCTCCCTTTAACCTTCAGCTATATCATATAAAGCTGAATGTTTGTTGTATAACTTCATATGATCCATAAAAATCCATGTAAATTGTAGTTATTTCTTTTGTTTATTTATGAGTGCAGTTTGTGTATTACTTAGAAAGTTGATATTTTATTAAAATTGAATAGTACATATATTGAAAAAAGACTAATTGACAAGAGCTCAGCTAGTAAATCTTCATCACTACAGTTAGTTTTTGATTTTTGAGAATGTAAGTACAAGTAATATAACACTGTATTTCTTGCATTTATTCATTATTTCAGACACCATCATTATCCCCTGTACCTCGTTCTGTTACATCACCTTTAGCTGGTTCACAAAAATACAGGTAAAAATGCCTTAATCTTAATTTTAATTTGTTAATCCAATTAACTTAAAAAATTATATACTTATTATATTTGTTGTCTTTTCAGTAAGCACAACTTTACAAGATTTGGGCCAAATAAGAATAGACAAAAGTTAATTTTACGCATAAATGTGCATGTCATGTCATATCAAGCAAGACTTAAGGCATAACATAGTTAAAATGTTGTATCATGATCCATTTTGAACATGGACTTTTTTTATTCCATTTTAAGTTTTTTTTTATTCCATTTTAAGTTTTTTTTTATTCCATTTTAAGTTTTTTTTTTATTATATTTTAAGAATGCAATAAGTACTGTCACGAGATAGAGTGGTACTGATTGTTTTATATTTTTTTTCACTGAAACCTAAAATTGATTATTAATCTACATGAGTGTTGATATATATAATCTACATGAGTGTTATTGATATATATAATCTACATGATTGTTATTGATATATATAATCTACATGAGTGTTATTATATTATATAATCTACATGAGTGTTATTGATATATATAATCTACATGAGTGTTATTGATATATATAATCTACATGAGTATTATTATATTATATAATCTACATGAGTGTTATTGATATATATAATCTACATGATTGTTATTGATATATATAATCTACATGAGTGTTATTATATTATATAATCTACATGAGTGTTATTGATATATATAATCTACATGAGTGTTATTATATAATCTACATGAGTGTTGATATATATAATCTACATGAGTGTTATTGATATATATAATCTACATGAGTGTTATTGATATATATAATCTACATGAGTGTTGATATATATAATCTACATGAGTGTTATTGATATATATAATCTACATGAGTGTTATTATATTATATAATCTACATGAGTGTTATTATATTATATAATCTACATGAGTGTTATTGATATATATAATCTACATGAGTGTTATTATATTATATAATCTACATGAGTGTTATTATATTATATAATCTACATGAGTGTTATTGATATATATAATTTACATGAGTGTTACTGATATATATAATCTACATGAGTGTTATTATATTATATAATCTACATGAGTGTTATTGATATATATATAATCTACATGAGTGTTATTGATATATATAATCTACATGAGTGTTATTATATTATATAATCTACATGAGTGTTTTTGCTATATAATCTACATGAGTGTTATTGATATATATAATCTACATGAGTGTTATTGATATATATATTTATTGTATTATCTAGTGTACCTGGAAGAAAGAATTTCTATGTTTCACCATTAAAAGAATCACCATTTAAAGCACCATCCAGTCCCAGTCAGATGACACCAAGATCTCGTCAGTTATATTGTTTTGGTGATGAAAGAGTGGGGGTAAGTAGATTGTATATTGTTAAAATTATCTTGGTGATACATGCTTCAGATATTTAATCCATCATCAGACTAGCTTTTCATAAAATAAGTTTAAAATTGGCATTTTGGCTATCTTGGTGAACAAATCTGTTTTAACTGACCCAAAACTAATACAGCATGAGAGGTGGTTTCAAAATTCAATATAAATTGACTTAGTTGAAAGTGGTTAAGACAGTATTATCAAAATACCAAAAGCACAAGATGAGGATAAATGGACTTGGTTTTGAGCAAAGTAAGCATGGGAAGATGCTTTGACAATATGAATAACATACCGCAGGTTTTTCATTATTCCGATCATCTTTTTGTATTATATGATGTTCAATCCGTGTATATTTCTATATATTGTAGTCAGCAGAAAATCTACGAAGTATAAATGAAAGAGTGTCAGGTTATCATAATCAACGTCAAGCTAATACACCTCGGGGTTTACGAAGGTTAAAATTTGATCAACCAGATGAAGAGTAAGCTTTATAATTGAATTTTTCTTATTTTGTTTTGTTTCGTTTTTTGTTTCTTTGGGTTACTTCACATATATTATGATCTGACAACAATATCAAAAACAATATGTTTCTAGTAAAGAAAATTTCAACTAATCAAATACTTTGTTAAAAGTTTTTTTGTCCTATTTAGGAACTCTAAAATATTCAATATACAACATTTTACATTGGTTTTGAATTAGGTCATACGAATAAGCTAAAAGTTCAACTAGAAATTAGTTTTCTTGTAATGCTTATAGTTATATAATAACTTCTTCAGCACACCTCCAGCCAAAGTTCCACGAATAACAATAACCTCTGAACCAGACACTGTGATAGTTTCTACTGCGTAAGTCCATTTTGTTTAAATAAAGGAGTATTTGCCAGCTTCATGGAATCAGGAATTGTCTCTCCGTGCTTAATGATATATTGTATTTAATTATTATTATAATCATTTAGGTAGAGTTTGTAAAGACCTTACCTCATTGACGGCACAAGTGAAGGTACAGAAAAATAGTCTGTTACCTGAATTTTACCCCACTCCAATTTAAACAAATTTCAAAGCATGAATTTTATATTTTTTTGCCCCAAAATATGTGCCTGAATCAACAATATTTTTCAAAATCTTTCTTGGCGAGCCTTCAGACAATCAGATTTCCATAGGAGAGTTACTTCTATTGGCTATTACAGCACTTCCACTTTTTAAATCTCAACATTGACAATTGCCACATTAAGTCAGGTGTCATTGGGTTTTGTGAAAAATATAGTTTATATATGTTTTGTTCTATTACAGTGAGGGTTTGACTAAGTCTTCAATACACAATGGTATAACTAGTAATGTTCAAGAAAGTTAGTTTCTTATTGACACTATATAAATTAACTCTAATAGACTATTTTGTAAAGCTGATTATTATTTATATCATTTTTTGGTTGCCAAAAATATATATATATATATTCACATATATTTAAAAGAATATTATAATCAACCTTTTTGGTTTACTAGCTAAAAGGATTTTTCCGTTCAATTTTATATCAAACAGTTGTAATAAGGACACAAAAAAAAAAATGATCTGTTTGATGAATTATGCCTTAGTCTCATTTTTCAGGATGTTTTTCAGGTTGTCCTGTATGATACAGGTTTCAGTGATGTCACTAATTCTCCATATCTTGTCATGTTTTGTTAGTCATTAGATTTTTATTTCACTTTTTGAAAAAACACCCGGACATAGATACGTACAGATATGCCTGACACTTCCTCATTTCCTGTTTTACTGTGTTTATTTTAAAACCTTTCTTTTTATCTGTACAGCAATAATCATTAATTAAGCTTCATTGTAATTAAATTTTTTCTTATAATGCGTATTTTAAATAGAATTTTTTATGTTTGTATAAATTTCTCATTGTTAATATATGTGGTCTTTAGTTGTGTGCAATAAATTGTAAGTGCTAACTTCAGTTTCAGCTATTTTATTGTTTAGAAAGGGAATTAATTCTCAATATTTAACTTTAAAGACTTCAAAGACAATAAACTGAATTATTAGTTTAATTAAATTGTAAAATACTTAGTTTTAATTATCAACATCTTTATTGGATATTGGTGTCTGAATATTTGCTTTACCAACTGATTGGCTTCTATTTCAGCAGTCCAATATCACTTTTCAGAAATAAATTCTGATAAAAATGAAAAATAGATTTTAGACTGTTGTTACTTCCATTTCATATACTCGCATGTATATATTACCAGTATTTTTTCGATCACCTTTGGCAGGGCTAACTTTTGTGGTGTATTTTTGTAGGATTACAATAAAGCTGAAATTAAGCTCTAGGAGCTGTAGAAGCCAATATTAAGACAACTGTATGAAAAATTACTATGTATTTTATAAGCTTAAATGTCTGAATATTGAAATGAAATCCCTAAGAATTATATTTGTATTTTGTTTTGTGAAAGTATTGTATTGTTAAATGTTATTTGTAAATTGTACAGAACAAATTTAATACAAAAATATATATCATAATTTCTAAGTTTTTACTGGCTCTAAACAAATGTTGTCCTACATGAAGTTCTACTTGTCCAACTTCAGTAGGGAAATAAGTCAGTTGTCTGAAGATCACATAGCATGAAACTCTGAGTAACAACATGATCTTTTAGGTTCTGTTTAATATTTCTATTCGTACATTTTATTTTGTCCCCCTTTCTGTCTGTTAGTTTTTGTAAACACTATAAATATCAGATTTTGCTTAATATTGATGTACATAAATATTTGAATTCGTTATATTTTATTGGGACAGTGATGAGTGGTTGCCCCTGATTTAGAAATAAATGCAATGATATTGAATATTGCACTTAATCTTTTCTATGTTAGTATGTGAGATTTTATAGGTTATCTACTCACAACTCAGACTGTATTGAATTATTTCAGATACTCAATGTCATTATCTGAGATATTTGCTCAGTATCTCGAGTTGTCTAGATTTTCAACTCTGGCTATAACATATAGCTTTGCATAGATCCATTATCTATTAATTATCTATATGGCTGATATTGTCGCTGGTGTTGGGATTATTAGCATCACTTGAGGTTATATAGTTCATTATCTCAGACACTCAATAAATTATCAAAAAACTATGTTGATGTAGCTTTAGGTTATTATCTCGGACACTCAATAGATAATCAACAAAGTAGGCCGCTATGGCTTTAGGTTATTATCCGAGGTTATATAGTTCATTAGCTCTGACACCCAATAGTTAATCAACAAACTAAGTTGCTCTAGCTCTAGGTTATTATCTGAGTCTATCTAGTTCATTATTTCGGACACTCAATTGATTATCAGCAAAGTGTTTTGCTGTAGCTCTAGGTTATTATCTGAGGTGATATAGTTCATTAGCTCGGACACTCAATAGATTATCAACAAAGTGTGTCGCTGTAGCGCTAGGTTATTATCTAAGGTTATATACTTCATTAGCTCTGACACCCAATAGTTTATCAACAAACTAAGTTGCTGTAGCTTTAGGTTATTATCTGAGTCTATCTAGTTCATTATTTCGGACACTCAATTGATTATCAGCAAAGTGTGTCGCTGTAGCTCTAGGTTATTATCTGAGTCTATCTTGTTCATTATTTCGGACACTCAATAGATTATCAGCAAAGTGTGTTGCTGTAGCTTTGGGTTTTTATCTGAGGTTATATAGTTCATTAGCTCGGACACTCAATAGATTATCAACAAAGTGTGTCGCTGTAGCTCTGGGTTATTATCTGAGGTTATATAGTTCATTAGCTCAACATGTCCTTATAGCTTTATGTTCTTATCTGAGGTTATATAGTTCATTCGCTCGGACACTCAATAGATTATCAACATGTCCGTATAGCTTTAGGTTATTATCTGAGGTTATATAGTTCATTAGCTCGGACACTCAATAGATTATCAACATGTCCCTATAGCTTTAGGTTATTATCTGAGGTTATATAGTTCATTATCTCTGACACCCAATAGCTTCTTAACGAACTATGTCGCTGTAGCTTTAGGTTATAATCTGAGGTTACATAGTTCATTATTTCAGAAGCCCAGTTGACAATTAGTAAGAATTTCCTAAATCGCAAATGAAAAAGGAATAGAATGGGAAGGGGCAAAAATAAGATTATTGTAATTGGGCTACTGTACAAAATATTACAATTAAGAATTCTTCAAATAGTTGACTTTGTAATGAACTAAAATACCTTTGAATCATTTTTTTTTAAATTTTAATACTCTAAACAATCAGCTCTCAAATTATCATTGTTTATTAACAAAGCAAATGTTTCTTGTTACATTAAATGTTAAAAAAAAGTTCTAGTAAAGAATTCCATATCATAAACATTTAAGATGTAGCTATATCTATGAAATAACACCAACTATCAAAACAATTATATGGCAAGATGAAGATCTATATCGGGCTTTTGTTTGTGGTTCCGATAAATGTAGCCAGACTACAAAGAACTGATGAAAATACTTTCATGTGATAATGTCATGTAGTTTTTAAGCTGGAAAGGTTAACTTCTTATACAATGTATGGTCCATGAAATATTCAGATATCAATTTCAAAATTTCTTATTTTTAGTCACTGGTAATATACTGAAATATATAAAAAAGGAAAAAAAAAACATGTTATGCACTAAAAGGGAATCCAAGGGACAACAGCCTCGACAGTTTGAAATCGAAAAAGAGCAGGCTAATGCCACTGTCCTAGCAAAATTTCCCTCACTGTACCCTGCATGGCGCTGTCCGTCTTCATTAGCCCATACGGCACAGAAAAGTATGACGCAAAACCTCATTCTTTTAAGATAGGATTGATAGCTTATGTCTCCCGAATCCTGATGTGAAAAGTTCATAAGCTGCGATCAATGTTTTGCCAATTATGTTGTTTTGGATTTGTGTTTCGTTTTGCGGTTCAGATCGTTAGTACAGTGTACTTAGTATTATATATTACGCTTCACCAATCCACGCGAAAAATTCTGGTTAGGACTCGACCTATGCTGAAATTGAACCCTGAACCTCAGGTTAGCTCGCTGCTTCACCTACCTTCATAGCATTTGATTAGCACTCTGGCTTTTTTTTTATATTGTCGGCTGCTAGACTGTTTAGAGACTTCATAATTTTGATTAAAAGTATTGGAAACCTTTGACCTTAGACTGTAGCGTTTTCTTTGACATTGACGTATGTATGTCTGGTTAATGTAAGAAGGGTAAAAGATGCGATTACTATAAGATAGCATTCACTGTCTGTTTTTCTTATAATCAATACTCCACTTTTACTATCATATCAACACCTGATTTTGATCAGCGATTCATTATGAAAATCTATATGATAAGAACAGGGAAATGTGATAAATATGATTCTTAGAGTAGAATTGATGTAATTAAATAAGTGTAGCGGGGTACCTGGCGAGTCTCTATGGCCATCGGAGTACTGAACCACAGTTACCCTTCTATATTCAATGCAGTGGTGTTCCGATTTAATTTGTTCCGATCATTCAATCAAAATACACTGAAATTGGTAGCTGAAATACAGCTCCACCAGCTGATAAATCATAAGACGAATAGGCCCTCTAGATAAACGTTATACTGCAGATAAATCAAAGAACTTATTAAACAACGATATTAAAGCAGTTCCACAATTATCATATAAAAGTGAATTATTAGGGGCAACTTAGCTTAATATACAATGTCGTATCAGTGAAATCTTTCTTAAAATGAAGGGGAACATTGTGTATGTTATGGTCGCTGAACTCCCAACCCCAAACAAACCAATTATTATTTGTTTACACAGTCAAGCCCACTTTACACCAAGATTCCGTTTATTGGACATTAAAATTCAAGTTTATATGATATGATTATTATAGGTCTGAGGAATCTAGATTTCCATGCCTTATATAAAACAGTCAGGAACGTCTTCCTTTCTTCCGGCTTCTGATAGATATTTTGACAGTTATAGTCTCTACGCAGCCGACAACTTTGAAAATAGCTATCGGAGACCGGAATTGAGGAAGATATATCGGTCAAGCCTCATAACTGAAACTAGGTAGGAATTTGTTTTAATGGTGATACGTACATGTACATCCCTATGCGATGATTAAAATTTCAGATTTATACCTGACTATAGAACACGTTTATATTATACTTGAACGAGAATCAGACTCTTGGCACCAATCCTGCAAACTGATGATAGAATTCTCACGATAGCAGTTATTACATACTCACCACCCACTCAATTCCTGATACTTTTAATATCAGACTTTCCTTTATTTCATTCAGTATACCAATCATAATCAAGCTGTATCACCTGTGCGATATCTAAAACATGATCTTCCGTTTAAGGTTCTGTAAGTCAGATTTTATGAATAAGCTTATGCAAGCCTAATATACGATTCATCGTATCACCTAGAGAGTTAATCAGACAATGCCATATCATCATTTGTGATAACCTAGCTTCAGCCCCTAAACTACTTCAGAAGTTTAAAGACTTTATTCAATTACAGCTCAACTGCAATAAGCAGTGTGGCTCGCCAGTTTCTAAACTTCTTTCTTCAACCTTATGACTTTAAGGGTTTGAGTGCGAAGACTTTATCCAGGCTTTTCGAAAATTAAAACGTACACGTACAAATCTCCCTTTAATAGGCCTTTGGTAGATTTATTAGGATGGCGATCGATGTAGGATACACAATCTCTTCTGGATCTACCTGGATTTTGATAAAACAGGAAAAGACTCTTTTTCGAAACCTGTGACCATTTTTCAAGTTTATTAGTTCTTATTCGTCACAGACAAGCCTATAGCCCATAATGGAAGAGTTCGTGGAATCGGACAAAGTAAAATAATGGCATTACTTGCCCTCCATACAGAAAATCGTGTCTTATGAATGAACTAGATTGAACCAATCAGAATACTCACAGAAAATTAAGCCACACCCATTCCACTTCCGTTTACCTTGAGCTCGAAGTTTGGCGTGCATTATCAGGAATCTTTTCTGTGAGTGTTCCATAGTTCAAGTGAATAATAAACCAGGTAGCTTTTCTGTTTATACATTGAGATAGGTAAAGTTAATAGCCTAGCGTTGAGTGATATACGGCGGCTGTTTTTTCTCTCTTTAGACATATTTGTGTGCAGTTTGTTCACTTCTGTTAAATCCAACTTTCACTTTCGCCTTTTTGTTGTGAAAATCAAGCAAATTTAAATCTCTCCTTTGGGTTTGGAATAACTTTATTTTGAAAGAAATAATTACAGCTATTGGTGTTTACTATATTTTGTATTTTTAAGGTACCTAATTTAAGATGTCGGTACCAGTAGCTTCTGTTGCATCTGCAGGATCTTTTAAAAATCCCAAATTGACATGTATCCCAGATATTCAGATTGATAAAAGTGGGAAAATGAAGTATATTTTGATTAAAGTACATGATCCAGAGAAGGATAGAGAATTTAAACATATTGTACGTGGAATTTGTAAAGCTGAATATCATGGTAAGTAAATTTTTAATTCACTTATTCAGAGTCACTATATCAATGAGCTACTAACATACAGTCTGAAAATCACAGCCTTAAAATTTGGATGGTGAAATTGTGGGTTGCGAATTTCAATATATTCTTGCAATACAGTAAAGTAAAGACCTGTAGGTTGGTAGTCAGCTTTAAACACTAACTGTTTTTCGATACCAGTGCTAGCCAGTCCTGTGCCATCAAAATTAAAAACTTCTCAAAATGAGATATACAGTGAAGTAACCTATTTTCGTGGATATAAGGATTCAACACCGAATTTCGTCAAAATTAAAAAAACAAATTTTTTTTTTTATGTCTTAGATGTTTCCTCAGATATTCTACAAAATAATTAAACTAGGTTTATTTCGATTTTCTTTATGAATCCTTCACTTTGACCCATATTTCATGAGCAACCAACTTGGCAACGGCGGCAGAATGCGTCACCTATTTTCGTGTACAATGTTTGAACTATAAATAAGTCTAGAAAAACACGTTGTATGGATACCGGATGGTATAATTAACTTCTCTTAGTATTTATCTTTAATATTAATTCATTATAACTAGTGACAATTACTTCAAAGAACCACGATTTAAAAAAAAATAGTGATTGACAAAATAAGATACATAGCGTGATTTATTGCTAAAAGTCACTGAAACAACATAAGAATATGGTCCACTTTATGTTCCATAGAAATTTTCTGCTGACACGGAATCCGCTATTTGATCAAGTGACTTCATTCGTTGGACTACATTCTAGCAGACGACACTTGGAATTCCAATTACCGCTTGGGATTATAAGGAAATTCGGCCGATAAAAAATGGTGATGTTTGGTAATAAGTGAAATCCGCCATTTTGTATTTGTCAAAGTATACATTAATACATTTTACCTTGCTTGAAACTACTGAATTCATTCTACTAGCTGATATTGTACAGAAAACCCATGTTTATCAAAACAAACTAATGCAGAGGTCGCGCAAGGTCGCTCATGTAAATTATTAATCGTTTCCAGAAATCCACGAATAATAGGTTTCCACGAAATTAGGTTACTTGACTGTATATAACCTATAGCCTATAACAAAATTGATAGGCCTATCAACTTAATCAACTACATGTTCAAGAAAGAGATTTAGACTGAATTGGTGTAACAATTTTTAGCCATATGTGCCTATCTTATGTGCTATATGTAGTAGAAAGGGCGTATGGTAGATCTATGCTTCGATAAAACACAGTTTTTACCATAACAAAAATTTGTCACAAGATATCTACACCAAATTTTTAGCTATTGTCGGTTGGAACTGGAATTCAAGGAATAACTGTAATACACATGTATGAATAAGAATAATTCATAGTTTAGCTTGTAGACATTATGTGTTTAATTTAAACAGAAAGAGTTGTAACTGATATACCGTGAATTTTAAGATCAAAGTGACATAGGTCTGTCTGTCTGTTAGAAGTTTTTAATGAAACATCTTTCTGTTCACTGAAGTAGATAACTAATCTATATAGTAAATATATCACATAGTATAAAATACTTATTTATTAAGTTCTACCAGTACAATGGTAGCCTGTTCTGTAGACTAGCAAAGGTCGCTTCCATAGAGGTACTGGAAGTGGATATTCAAGTGGTATTTCAATAACTAGAATTTTTAAGTTTTAAGCTTATTGTCAAGCCAGTTCTTTCTATTGGTAAAATGAATTATTTTTTGGTTAAGGAGTGGATAAATTGTACACATATTTGATAAAAGTTGGATTTTAAAGGCACATTCCGTTTGATAAAGTAGATACATAGATATAAGTAGCATATTATAGAAATATTTTCAGATATAATTTACAACGTAATTGATTATGAAAACATTTTACAAATAAGTGGAATGTCCCTTTAATGCAGGAGAATATATTGCTTTGAGCTTATAAGATAGATAGGTCATAGTGAATGGTGAATGCTGTCTGATTAATTTTTGCTGAGGATATATGTTATGCAGGTCAAGCCCTACCATCCAAATATGTGCTCTTGAATCCTTTTATATGGATTATATGGGAAAGATCAATGCCAAGAGGTTTAGCAAGCACCGACTGGTAGAAAGGATTCCTAATTGTGAACCTAAGTTGTTATCCTTGTTAACTATAGTTCTTTCTTTAACTGATATATTTTATGTAATTTCTTGATCAGTTTTAGAGATATATTTAATGTTCTGAGATTCAAAGATTCTGGTAAAGTAATGTACTGGTATGTTACAATCATTTATTGTCTTACAGACATCAGACTTATTTCCTGCCAAACATATTCACATAGCTTCACAAATATTTTGATATTTTTGACATTCAAAGCTAACTTTTAAAAAAAGATTTCCTTGTTGTAATAACCATTTTGAACAACCAGCCTAAAACAAAGAAAAGGAATTCTATAGTTAATTTCCAAGGTGTATTGTTTCTCCTAAAGACTGTTGTATTTTTGTAGTCAGTTTATATCTATAACCATTTACTTTAATGTACATACATTAATTAAATGTGCAGTTTATTGGTGAGATATACCTCGTTTCTGCCATATTTCACTTGGCACTAAGCCTGCAAATTATCTTAATTGGTTTAAAAGGTGAACTGATAGAGTTCTTCAATTCCACACACCTACATTTTCTACAGATATTTTTATGTAAACATTATTTTAAAAAATGTTATGTACTTTACTCAAAAATTGCTTCTTTTGTTCTGAACAATTTGCTGTGTATCGTTTGTAAATTTCTCAAGTAATAAGATGATGGATGTAGTGAAATCACTTTCTCTTCCTGTAGATATGTGGCTTTAGTTTGGTTATTTGACAAGTTGGATTGAAAAGGGATAGGTTTATGTTGTAATTCCTTAATAACTTTGACTATATAAGGTGTAGTGCAGATGTAACCGATGAAAGAAAAATTTGGAGGTGATTTTTATTTAGTATAAAAATTTAAATAATCTATAACTGATCTTAATTTGGTAATGGATACCCAACCCTAGCCACAGTTCTTCTAGGAATAATGTTAAAAGGAATCCAAACTGATAGCTCACATTTGCACCATACCAATTTTACAAACATATTGCAACTAGATCTGAAGATCTGCTTCATTTCTCATAGTAAAATCTAGAAATAGTCTCCAATGCACATAGTAAAATCTAGAAATAGTCTTCATTGCACATAGTAAAATCTAGAAATAATCTTCATTGCACATAGTATAATCTATAGTCTTCATTGCACATAGTAAAATCTAGAAATAGCCTTCATTGCACATAGTAAAATCTAGAAATAATCTTCATTGCACATAGTAAAATCTATAAATAGTCTTCATTGCACATAGTAAAATCTAGAAATAGTCTCCAATGCACATAGTAAAATCTAGAAATAATCTTCATTGCACATAGTAAAATCTAGAAATAGTCTTCATTGCACATAGTAAAATCTAGAAATAGTCTAAAATCTAGAAATAGTCTCCAATGCACATAGTAAAATCTAGAAATAGTCTCCAATGCACATAGTAAAATCTAGAAATAGTCTCCAATGCACATAGTAAAATCTTGAAATAGTCTCCAATGCACATAGTAAAATCTAGAAATAGTCTTCATTGCACTTAGTAAAAACTAGAAATAATCTTCATTGCACTTAGTAAAATCTAGAAAAAGTCTTCATTGCACTTAGTAAAAACTAGAAATAATCTTCATTGCACTTAGTAAAAACTAGAAATAATCTTCATTGCACTTAGTAAAAACTAGAAATAATCTTCATTGCACATAGTATAATCTATAGTCTTCATTGCACATAGTAAAATCTAGAAATAGCCTCCATTGCACATAGTAAAATCTAGAAATAATCTTCATTGCACATAGTAAAATCTAGAAATAGTCTCCAATGCACATAGTAAAATCTTGAAATAGTCTCCAATGCACATAGTAAAATCTAGAAATAGTCTTCATTGCACTTAGTAAAAACTAGAAATAATCTTCATTGCACTTAGTAAAATCTAGAAATAGTCTTCATTGCACTTAGTAAAAACTAGAAATAATCTTCATTGCACTTAGTAAAAACTAGAAATAATCTTCATTGCACATAGTAAAATCTAGAAATAGTCTCCAATAATTTTTAGCTATGCCAATCAGTCATAGTTTTCAAAGCTCATCGTCGAAATTTGAGCCTTCAAATCCATGTGTCCAGAACTATCCGTGATTGAATGTTAAATGACGACTTGTCAATTTAAGATACTCTGTGATACCGTAGATCGAAAAGACGAAAAGTGAGTAAAATTCCTAGTTTGAAGTATTTTTAAAAGAATTATGCGATTTTGATACATTTTTTAGTACTTCTGAAGACTATTTACATATATTCAAGATCAAAATCAACCCCCAAAATGGTGCATCTGTCCCTTTAATGTTTACATAAAAAACCTGATTGAAGTATTATTTTATACTCATCTGATAAATATTGATATTAGATACCACAACCTGTATAATATTTTATAAAACATATTTGATAGTGTACTTAATAACTTGTTAGTTTATCTCACTAGTGAAATATGGTTTTTAAGAAGGAATTTATTGATTTTGATAATATTTTATTAAGGCATGTTACTTTGGTGTCAGAACTATTTGTAGGTAGCACAACAGACATGGCATTGCAAAGTTAAAGCTTGTTTCTAAAAGTTCACTTGTTTTCTCCTATTATAAACATTTTACTTGTTTTCTCCCATTATAAACATTTTACTTGTTTTCTCCTATTATAAACATTTTACTTGTTTTCTCCCATTTTAAGAATTTCACTTGTTTTCCCCCATTATAAACATTTTACTTGTTTTCTCCCATTTTAAAAATTTCACTTGTTTTCCCCCATTATAAACATTTTACTTGTTTTCTCCCATTTTAAAAATTTCACTTGTTTTCTCCCATTATAAAAATTTTACTTGTTATGTTCCATTATAAAAATTTTACTTGTTATGTTCCATTGTAAAAATTTTACTTGTTC